CCTGGTTTGTAGTTCTTGCTTACCCTGGCACATAGCATATCTCCAATCGCATCATGAACTTTTCAATGGATGAAAGAAGGAACAGCATTAGGGGGGAGAACAGGGTGGAAAATAAAATTGCTCCTAGCAATCTTTAGGGGATAATAGTTATGGTCCACCGAAAGATGACTAGAGTACTAGCCTCAGAGGTGCCACAAACCACATTTGTGCAATTCTGTGGAGCCCCTCCTTTAGGGTGTATCTACTGGTTTCCTTCCATGAGCACCAATGACAGCCTATATGATTTCCGCTCCTTTCAAAGTCTCCATCTCCACCACTCCATGATTTTAGCCAATATTATCTTCCAAAGTGTTGACATTGATGTTTTCAAACAAGCTTATAACAATGAAGACACAGATATTGTATATGCTTTAAGGGCGAAAGATAGTTACTCACAGAACCCATTTTTATAAGCAATTTATGAAAGTCCTTGTTCACAAAGGGGTCAGCAGGAAGCTCTTCGCCCCAGCTTTGAGCAGAGAGTGAGGACAGGACTGCTGTTCTGAGGCCAGAAGGCTGTTTGCCAAGAGCAGTCCCATCATCTCTCCACAGTTGGGTTCATTCTGCCTGAAGCAAAAACAGCACAGCAAGCACACCCTGCAATGGCAGCCACTGTCACAGCTGAGCCCTGGCCTTGTTCTCACCAAGCTGTCCTCAGCCCTTCTCCAGGGAGCTTCTCTACTTGGAAACCAGATCCCGAGGCTTCTGAACCTTCCCAAACACGCTCTGAGCACAAATCAGGAAGACAGTGATGGGGGCAGCAGGAACACAGACACAAAGCTATTTTTGAGTAAATGGAAGGAAAAGCTAAACACAGGTGTGTTCTGCACAAGGGTAAATGTTCCCAAATCCACAAGAATTCTTTATAAATACACTCAAAAACAAACCATTCCGGTTGCCATATCTCATTCTAGTTTCCAGGGACACACACAAATAGTTCAGGTCCTTGCATATTATTTCAGGAACCACAGAGGTCTTACAGACAACCACCAAAGGTGTCTGACTCATTTTCTAGAAAGCCACACAAACTGACAATCTAGGGCCGAAAATGAGAGCAATGCTCACTTCCTGAGTCCTGCCACGGCACAGAAAAGGAAGGCAACGAGAAACAACTTTAACTAATTTAAAAAAATGGGTAGAATGTGGGGCCAATGGAGAATCTCACAGAAAATGCAACTGAACTTAGAAAAGAGTAATTCAAGTCTTTCATATCCACTCATTTGAACACCAAACATGTATATCAAAACACAAATTCAATCAGTTACAATGAAACATAATATTACCTTATTGGGCTTTGGGATGACTCCTGAAGTTAGAAGCACAGATAAGACTTTTCTACAATGGCAGCAGGGTTTCAGAGTTTCAGACTCCATCGTCTCAATTTTTAGCAGACAAAATGTTTATGGCCCATTTTCTTTCCAAATTCTTGCTAAAATATCACCCACCATGAAGACTTAACTATCTTAAGTGGATTTTTTTTTCTTTTTACCTACTTGATGTTACAGCATTCCAGCTCTAACAGTAGACTGGGCCCAGACATGAGAATCTTTTACTCCATTTCCAAAGTCAGAAAAAGCAGCCAAAGTTGACTGAAGTAACACTTCCTAGGATTATGGGCATCACTGGCAGACGACTTCCTGCAAGAGGTGTCTTATATGCAGTATCTTAGTGTAGCATGATAGCACTCTTATGAGGCCAGCTTGATGGCTAAGGAAACTGAGGCTCCAAGGGGTTAAGTCACACAGCCAGGCACTGCGGAGCTGGGGTTCAAATCCTAGTTTCTCTAGCCTCATAGCCTGTACAACTCATTACCTTAACATGCTGCTTCCAACAAACTGAAATACTACATGAAATTTGGCAGAAATTTTATAGGAATAAAAATAAAACCTGCACCCGAACAGGAGAGCAAGAGACCTGATTTCCCAGAAGATCATATAAAATAATAAAAACAAAATGATAGCTATAAAACATGGGTTTTTTTGGTTAAGCAACAAGCTCATAATTAGCATAAGCAGCATGAATTAAGACTGGCTCCATTCATAGCTATCAGAAAACAGCTAAATGGGTAGATGAGAGCATCCCAGGCACCAGGAACATCCATGCTTAGGGTCAGGTCCTTGAGGACACATGAGCAGGATGGGGATACATAGTAGATTTCTCTGAAAAGTTATATGGACCAAGGACAGAAAGACAGTTTGTGGCCAGCATGCCTGGAGGAAGGAATGTCAGGATCACCTGTCTGGCTTTTATCATAAAGGAAAGCAAATCTACTAAAGACTGCCTGGTGCATAAGAGTCATGTATGCACAGCATTGTTATGGGATGACAAAAATAAAATACTGGGGTGCTAGGAGTGAAGTGGATAGCAGGTGACTGCAGTCAGTGACAGTACCCCATTTCAGGGTTTTCCTCTGGACTAAGTGTAGAGGTATAGGCCCAGCTCCTTCCTGTTTATCAGGCTCGCATGCCTGGGCTTGCCTTGCATGGACAGGAAGGGGCAGGGATGAGGGCAGGGTGGTTCTAGGAAGACCGAGATCAAAATGATATGAGCACTTCTAGGCATAAATACAATCAGGGGTCAAAGATCTAAACATATGGGGGAAATTACAATGTCCTGTTTTGCGAAGGCAACAATCAAATTGTTTCTACAGACATTAATCCACCATGGGAGCTCAATCCCAGCACTCAGAAGGCTGAGACAGGAGGATCACTGTGATTTCAAGACCAGCCTGGACTACATAGTAAGTTCAAGACCAGCCTGGACTACATAATGAGACCCTGTTGTAAGAAAAAAAGAAAAAATACTGGCCATTAACCCTAAACTGGGTATGAAGGCACATGCTTCTAATCCTTGCACTTGGGAAACAGGGCAGGAGGATCTCAAGTTTGAGGCCAGTTTGAGGTACGTAGTGAAGTCTCTTACAAAACCAAAACAACCCCTCTCAAAAAAGCCAAACAAACATTAGTTCCCAAAACTAGAGAAAAAGGAGGAAACGCTCAGGATACTCTGGAAAGCAGTCCACCTACTCATTTCTCCCTACTAGATCCAGACTATGAAGTTAGAGATAAAAATTACCAAGATCAAAATAGTGTGTTCTTATCATGGCATATTTTCAAATGGCAAGGTCCAAAGTATAACATGTTAGGATGGAAATGAATGGGTTCAGGTAAGAGACCAACTATGGTGGTTCTTCCTGTTCTCAAGCCTTATGCAACATTATTGATACATAGAATGTTCAGTTAAAGAGGCTGTACCTTCTCTAAAAGCAAAACAAAAAAGGGACATAGAGTTGTTCCCCTACACAAAGAATGACAGCTATTTAATTTTCTGGTTGCTTTATCATTACAAGGGATAAACTATTCTAACCCTTTTCCTGTATTACTAAAGCCAATTATCAGTGCTAATGAGGAAATTATGTTTCTTGCCCATTTAACAATTTCTTTATCCTGTTTGTTTGGTTACAGATGTGATTAAAAATAGGAAATGCACTGTGCATAAGAAACCAGCCTAATGGATTCTCAGCAGACGGACAAGGGGAGGAGTGGGACAAAAGGAGAAGTGCTTCTACCTTCCTGCAGAAAGGAATGATAAAGGAAGCATCTTTCTTCTCCTCACATTCAACACCCACAGAGCTATACTGAAATAACTTAAGGGGCGAGTAGTTCACGGGTAAAAAGATGGATGGGTTCTCAGGTGAACTACAAGGTAGGGTATAATTGGCTATTCCAGAAAAGTGTCTATAACTCTAGCATTATTTAGTGTATCACTTTCATATGGAGTCCATGACAGGGCCAGCTCTCTCCCTAAAACATACTTGACCTTTTAACAAGTTACTGAACTTGGTCCTTAGTTCACTGGCTTCTTTGGATTAGGCTCTTCAAACACACAATCTCTAAAACTGTTTCCTAGAAGTAAGCATCTTTGAGTATAAAGGTAAATCTTATCAATCACTTTATCAACAAACTTGGGGGCCGGGGAGAGCACTCAGTAGAATAGGCACCTGCCTGGCAAGCGCAAAGTCCTGAGTTCAATGCCCAATACCACTAAATAAATAAACAAACTGAGGAGTAAGGGTGCTAGGCAACACTGGGGTACCTTATCTTTCAGTAGTAGCCAGAGCCCACCTTAGTCCACTGCTTTCTCTCTTATCTGAATCCTGCAACCTAGCAATGTTTCTCAGCCCTGCAAGAGCTCAGGTGCCACCGTGTTCTCCCCATTACACCTGTGCATAGAAAATTACACACTCTCTGTCACTTACCTAGATACTAGAATAAAACCACCTTCTATGTAAAAACCTTGTATTTCAGAGAAAAAGCCATATGTTCTAGGAATTACTTGAATAAACTGACTTTCAACTACTGACTTGGCAAGGAACACTGTATGAAAGGAGAAAGCACACACAGTCAAGACCTTGGTAAACTGTATCTCTTTACACAGATTTTATAGCTCTCCTGGTGTTTAAGGAGTGCTCTGGCTGTCATGATAATAAAATCATCCAACCTTCTTAGCCCAAACAAGATAAATAAAATTCTCAGGCATTCATTCTATCTGTTCTTGATCTTGAACAGCAAACATTCTTTAAGCATTTTCTGCCTATGAAGCATGACCAGTCTCTTCAATGCCCCATCCATCAGTCCCCTATGACACAGCTCTGCATCCTGGCTGCTGTGGAAGGCAGAGTCTGTGACCAAGCAGGCTGCCTTCTGGATTAGTCCTTCTGAGACACACTCTTCTGCAAGGCCATGTGAATCGGGAGCTGGAACCACAGAAATCTATTCCATTTTCAAGTTCATTCATTCATCTGGATTCAGCTTGATCAAAAGGAAGGACACAAAATGTTTCCCACAAGTTTGGGACCACAGAAACCAGGTATTTCAAGGGCTAAAGAAAAAGCTTGCATTATTCTTCAGACACCCCAAAGCATTTCACAGTTTAGAAGGCAGGAGAGAACCTTTATTTACCTTATTGATGAGAGTCACTATATCTCCTTCTTTAATTGTCAATTCATCGTCATTCTGTGCCTCATATGGAAATATTACTTTGCAATAATCCTTGGCTGAAAGAAGAAGAGAACACACAATCTTAAGGTGCTTTATAAGTGAGACAGCCCAGGAGAAGGTGCTCTCTGTTGGGTTCATTTAAGGGGGAGGTACACACAATAGGTAGGATATTATGGCTACATAAAGAGTTCTGGTCATCCTCAGAAAACTCCTTAAGAGTGCTCATAATAGGCTCATGCATATTTATTCTCTACATTTTCCTCCTCAAAAATAATGTGACATCATGAAATGTTATTGACTGCTTTGCTTTTCTCAGGCAATAAAAAACAAAAAGGTGTTCTTGGCCACAGGAAAACAGACATGTACCATCTTATATACTCTTCAGGTGCATGCATAAGCAGACATCTGCAGAGAACAAAAGTTAAAATCTGTCTCACTGTCTTCTTCTAAGCATTATAAAACCAGAAACAAGGAATTTATATATGTTACAAAGCTGACATGATACATAAAACAATGAAAAATTGCCTCATTATAGTATGTCTTAAAAGACAAATGTTGATGTATTTTTATGTGAATACATGTCAAGTACAACCAACAAATACTGACAGAAACAGATTTTTTGAATAAGGATTGAAAACAAGGCTGTGTGTATGCTAGACAAGAGCCCTACCACTGAGCCACACCCGTGGTTAAGAAGACAGTGAAAATATTTGTGAGGGACTTGATAAATGAAAGCTTGGAAAATAGGGCTTTCATAACTCAGGGCAGAACGTAGAAAGAAAAATTCAAGAATATTAGTATTTACTAGAGCAAGCATTTCTTAGTCTCTATCAAGATCAACAGATTTAATGGCTTTGAATATCGTTAGATATTTCCTGCATATAGATAATAACCTAGAACTACTATATATCCACAAGTATCAGTTATACTGTCCCTCCTATATTTATACCACAAGAATACATTTCTTTATTTTGGTGAATACTTCCTCGATCAAGAAGAGTGATCTAGGTCTGGCCAAATAGCTCAGTGGATTAAAGCACCAGTTTAGGCAGATGCAGGGGCTGGGAGTTCAATGCCCAGACCTGCTGTGCCAGCACTGCCCCTGGGGTGCACTGAGACAGCGATTGAGACTGGGCGTGGTGGCACATGCCTGTAATCCCAGCACTTGGGAGGCTGAAAACAGGAGGATCACTATGGGTCTGATCTACACAGTAAGACCCTGTAGACATTGTCCTAAATACAAAAAAAAGAGTGATCTAGAAAATCAAGGCACTTTGAAAATACACACTACAAGACACATTATGATCTAGGGTTGAAACATGACAGAGAGACGGAGAGGGGAAAAAAGGGAGGAATCATTTTACTTTTGTTTTTTGGGGGGTACTGGGGATTGAACTCAGGACGTTAGGCTTGCCCAGGCAGGCGCTTATGCCCTTGAGCTATCTCCCCAGCGGAATCATTTTACTTTTGTGATGTTTTTGTGTTGTGTCCAATGATTTGAAGATATCAGTTACATCCCCTATCCCAGGGTTGGAATTTCTCCATTTGACATACATCTCTGATGGCTTGAGCTCATTAACCTGTGCGCAGTGAGGGGGCCAAAGTCCACCAGGATCATGCTCTTACACCCACATAGTACCAACATTCCATTTCTCTTTAACTAATAATAACAAATACTCCCCTATCTGAACTAGTCAACTGTTCTTAAGGAGGGAAAAGGTTAAACATCTTTAAATTGGATAATGACAGCTCCTTACCAATTTTTCTATTGACTGTGCTAGTGAAATATGACTACTCAACCTCAAAACACAAAATAACACAAATACAGTATTAGTGAAGAATTGTCCTGCAGAGCCCTAGGTTTAAGATTAATTCTTTGGGGCTGGGGAGATAGGTCAGTAGTCTAAGCACCTGCTTGACAAGAACAAGGACCCAGGTTCGATCCCCAGTATCACATGCCATGCCACCATACCAGCCACCAAAACCAGGCATGGTGGCACATGCCTATAATACCAGCACTGCAGAGGCTGAGAACAGAGGATCACTATAAGTCTGGGCTGCATAGTGAGACTCTATACCAGATAGATAGATAGATAGATAGATAGATAGATAGATAGATAGATAGATTTTTTTTAAAGATTATTATTATTATTATTTTTTGCGGTACTGGGGATTGAACTCAGAACCTTGCACTTGTGAGGCAAGCTGTTATTTTATTGAGCTATCTCTCCAGCCCCCAAAAGATTAATTCTTTGGATGGAAATAATGGAGGCATTTTAGAAAGTATATTACATACTCATGGCCAACAAAGAAAGAAGAAGCTGGTCATGTTTTTCTCTCAGTGAAACACAAGTTAATAAGACATGGTGGATTGATGCTGGTTTACTCCTCAGCAGTCATTTGCAACCTCCTTCTTCCTTCACAGAATCCTTCTTTGTTTGATCGTTATATTCAGGAAGAATTATGCATAGTCTTAGGGAGGGGTATATTCTGTCCTGGTAAGTACTCTTAATCTCACTCGTCTTTGTGACCGGTTTAGGGAAGGGCATATGACCTATTTGTAGCCAATAAAATGTAAAAGAAAATCTGTTGCTGTGGGGATGCTTAGATAATGTTCTGTGGTTTAAAAAGAGACAACAAGTCTTGAAGAAGATAGTTCCCTTGCCTTTGTGCTTTTAATAGTTTTATCTTTGTTAGAAGACAAGATAATGTTTGGTACTACTGCAACCATTTTTCAATTGTGAAAGGAAAGCCAAGAAAATCACAGAGAATTTGACCCTGAGCCCTGACGCTGTTGAGACATCTCAAAAGCACCAGCTTTAGAGAGTCTGTCTCTGGACCTCTTATTACAAGACTCAGGAAAAAAAATTGTTTACCACTACATTGTGCTCGGATATGTATTCATTGCTCCAAGAAAAAGGAATCCTGAAGTGAAGGAACTAAATAGAAAAAAGGGGAAACTTCAGTTACCACCTCTCCACCCACAACCACCCCCCCAAAAGTACTTTCTGTGTAGCAGTCATTTTCTTTCCCCTCAACTTTCCTTTTATCACCAGGAGCTGACCCATTGTACGAGGGTCAATAAAAGACTATAGAACTGACTTACAATCCACGTAGTAGAAAAATATTGCCAAGAAAGTATTGGTATGCCTTTAAAATTTTTCATAGAGCCACTTTCCTTTATGTTTACAGTTTCTTGATAAGCTAAGCAGGGCAGGTGTCTCCTTTATTAAAAATGTTTCATGAGGTATAATATATATACCATAAAAATATCCATTGTAACTGCACACAGTTTGATATGCTTTCAAGATATATATACAGTTGGCCGGCCATCACCATAATCTAGTTTTAGAACACTGCTACTACACAGCTATGGCTGTTTTGTGTGAAAAGCAGTACACACAGAATTATCTGGAAAGCATCACTTGTTAATAAAAGAGGAGTATGTCAGCACTCTGGGAGGCCGAGCCAGAAGGATCAGAGGTGTGAGTCCAGCCTGGGCAACTTAGGGACTTAGCAAGACCCTGACTCTAAATATGAAATTTAAAAAAAGGCTTGGCATATAGCTCAGTGAGAAGCTCTGGGTTCAATCCATAGTACAAACAAAACAAAACAAAATGGGAGGAGAAAGTATGGTGATGGAGGGCCACTACCTACTACCACTGTAAATAAGCAGGTTGCTACCAAATGTCTCACTCTTTTCATCTGCAGACTCTAACACAAAAACTTGTCATTCATTTCTTGAGAATCCTTAGGTGACACCTATAAAGTGATAGAATATTTGAGGAATAAAGATTGGAGGACAGGACTCAGAACACTCAGGGTTGGGATCAGTTCCAGCTGAGCTTTTGGAGCACATGACCTGAGGTAGTCACATTGTAGCTCTGGATGAACACAGTGTCCACAGGTGCAAAGTCCCAAACTAGCCATGAAGGGGTAAGGACAGTTTAGTCAATGTCAGTTGAATACTTTAAACAAATTTAAACTCACTCTAGATCTCAAAATTTAAACTAAAAAAAAAAAAAAAAAGAACTGACTAAGGTCCTCAAAAAATGAGAGTGACATTCCGGGACACTGAGGAGCACCCTGGGCTAGACCTAAGTTCCTGCTGGCTCTGACACTTCACTACTTGAGTCACATGCACTGTCACCCAGACTTCCTGACCACACATAGCAGCCAGTAGCCCATATTTTATTATAATATATTTAAAAATGATAATTCATTTTTACTTGTGAGAAATTTGAGCTTTAATTCAGCAGTACTCAAGAATCAAAACACTACACTGGTTTGGGCATTCACTCCAAAGTAAATAAGTGTATGTGCAAAAAATTATTACCTCTGAATAATTTTATGGTATATATTCCTATTTCAAGTATTTATTGAACCCTCACAATGTAAAAGAAATTGCCACTTTTCAGGCCTGTGATACATAAGTCCAGCCACTCCTTTCCATCCCTGAATGGAACTGACAATCTGATGCACAGAGAAAGAGGAGGGGAGGAGAATGACAAAAAGAAGACAAATGCATAAAATCACTATGAGGGAGTATAATTGTGATGTTTCAGAGAAAAGGCAAGGCTACAAGTGGGAGAGAGTTCACAGAGCACAAGTATTTGATATATCTTAAAAGAATAATACAATTCCAAATCATTTTTGGACATAAGATTATAAATTTTAAATGAGTAGTGGACAGAGATGGAGAAGAAAGGGGTGGAATTAGCTTTTAGTGACAGGTATTTTCCATCTATTCATTAAGTAGATGGATTTAATTAGTCTGAGATCCAGTTGGAATGAATATAAACATACACATAAAGAAATAAAGGCACACTTTACCTAGCAATTAAAATTATTTCATCTCTTTTTCCTTAGGAAGATGAAAAATACAAATAAATTGACGTAAGCTCAAAATCTTAAATCAGTTAAGCTTTTTTTGTCTGAGTCCTTTAAACCTCTGATAAAAAGCAATGACCCTCTCCGTCTAGAAATAAAACAAAAAATACAAACACATTCAAATGGGTGGAGAAAATGTGCATACTGCCAGAGGGTTCAAGGACCC